TGTGGTGGTGGGGGTGGGGGGGGGGGGGGGGGGGGGGGGGGGAGCAAAACTAAACTTAGTACTCCAGATGTGGCCTCAACAGTGCTGAATAGAGGGGAATAATCACTTCCCTTGAGCTGCTGGCAACAGTCCTACCAATGCAGCCCAGTATGCTGTTAGCCTTCTTACCCCTCTTGCCACCACCCCCTGTGGCCCCCTGGTGCCTAGGCTGACCAGGAGCAAATTGCTCCCTGTCGGTGTCTACATGAGTACTAATGCATAGTAGATAATACTCCATTAATCTAGTACTTGTAGTTGCTAGTACTAGCAAATGGTGCATTAGCCTAATTTACTGTGAAGTCAGTCCTACACACATGTAGACATTGATACTTTATTAGATTAATGTAATAGGCAGTAAAGTGTCTTGTATAGATGCACCCAGGGTAGAACTTCTTGATGTCTAGATATAAGCCAACAGAACATGTGGATCATGAACTACTAAGTATTCATGACAAGAAAAAATTGGGAGGAGGTGAGTATCTTGTTGAATCATATGTAAAGAGGAGAGGGAGAGTGCCTACAAGTAAGCAGAGGTTGCTTGAAGCAAGCAGAGAGAGAGAGAGAGAGAGAGAGAGATAATGTGGTCTTTTTTCCTCATCTTAGTATCCTAAAGAAAAGGATTCTTAGCTTCACTGAAACTTTAATGAATCCCAAGTTTGTGTTCATGTGTGTGATTGGTTGCAGGTCTCTTGCTGGTAGCTGTAAGGACTTAGTAAATATAAGGTAGGTATTGTAACTGTAAGGTAGCATTGTAAAAATGGAAGATATTTAGCATACCGCTAAAATCAAAGGATTGTCACGTTGGTTTGACAGTTGCATAAATTACAGGAAGTGCTTCAATTCAATCAACAATGTAGGCAAACTTACAGACTTTTGAGAAATTTTGATATATGTCCTACAAAACTAGTTTTCTATTTTTTCCATACTGACAGTCCAGATGGATAATCGAATTTTAAAGAATAAAAAAATGCATAGCACTTTTACTAGCTGTTTGTGCCACATGGAAGCATATTATAATACAATATTACCCTTTCTTTAAAGTAAAAACTAAAAATATTCCAGTAACACAATATTTTTCCAAGCTAGTACATTTTGGTTGGCCAGTATTAGAATATATTTGCCCTCTGTGACAGAACCCTGAGGCAGTCAAACTGCCCACGAGGAGGTGAGATACTCAATTACAGGACAGTTAAATCTAGGGATAACCCCCACCCCCCTCCCCACACACACACACACACATGCGCACACATCTTTAATAATTAGGAAAAACACTACAGCAGAAGTGGAGAAGACAATGTAATAGGAAGGTTACAAACACACTATCTCCACACTTTTCACTCTCATCTCCTGATCTCCTGCTAGGGCTTAGCTTTACAAGTCACAGCTGGTTCCACCGGCAGGCATGAATTGTCACTGTCTCTACAGCAAACTCTTCCTTGTCCCCAGAGGTTTTGGGTTCTCTGCTTCTCTTGGCATGTTTGTTACATGTGCAAACAAACCCACCTACCCACCTCTGAATGTAAAGTTGAATTGTACCTATACGTAGTGCCACAGAGGTAATTGCATTACTTTGCCTTATAGAAGATATAATGAGGAAGATCCCATAATAGTTACATTAAGGCTAGTGTCATGGTTGATGTGACTGTGGAGGTAGAGGCTGGCAACCAATTGTGTTACAAGCAGTCTTATCCATATCACAGTAGATACACCTTCACAAGTTCAAGTGTCACATCTATATTAAATGTAGCAACAATAGACTCCTATACACATGCAGGGAGGCCGCTCTGACACACTGTAATTCCAGCATGGTGGAGCAGACTCAATTAATCAAGTCTGCTGGAGTGTGGGTGGTAATTACCGTGCTCCAGCAGACTCCAGCATCATGTGTATTAGTGTCCCCATGCTGAAAAATGCCAGCAGGGTGCTTTAAAGTATAGCATGTTCAATGAGTTTTAGTTCAAAGCACACCACCACAATTTTTCAGTGCTGGACACATATATATATGATGCTCCAGGTGCTTTTAATTAGTGCGGTTCTCAGACATGCACTAATTAAAGTCCCCCATCCCCTTCCTTCTGGAGCATGTCTATAAATGTCCCATATTTCTTGATGCTGCCTTGTTAACTATCTTTGTCTTGGGGTTTACCAACCCCATTTTTGTAAGCGATGGACCAATATTTCAGGTTGACTGCTGAGTTTCTGTCATGTTTGTATCTAATGATGATACCTGAAAAGCTAGGAAAAAAGCATCACGTGAAAAAGTAATATTGATGTGTTTTTTGCTCTCATCTTCTTAGACTGAGTAACATGGTAATATGACCTTGTGCCCTTCAGGTAATATAACAATCTTTCTGCAACTGAGAGCTAAGATCAGATTTAAGCTCTCTGTGAAATTTGCAGTCCAAACATATGCCCATTTGAACATCAACTTGTACCCCCTCTCTAAATAAGAACTACTGATAGTATGCAAGTCTTCAAATGAGTCTAAAATACAGAAGACGAGACTCAGAGT